TTTTGGGGGGGGGGGGGGGGGGGGGGGGGGAATAAAATTCCAATTACCAATTCGCCTCGAAAAACAGAATTGATGAGCAAACATGGGGGGGTCAGAAGGGGGAACCTTTTGGGGTTGTGGTTGAAAGTCATCATTTTGATTTGATTAAGTCATGTCAATTACGACTAAATTTACTTCTACTTGCATGGATACCATTAAATTTGGCCTCATAAATATTTTTTATCCTCATACACATGTACATGTACCTTTCGTTTATCGTGGGTGGTTTCGGTCCCCATTAACCGGGATAAACGAGAAATGAGTGTACACACGAATCAAAACTGAAACAAAAACACACACACGGGTGCACACAAAACACACACAAACAGACAAATGCATGCAAAAGCACACACCAAGGCAAATTTACACTCAACAACACACAAAACACAGGCGGGTGCATGCACACATTCAAATCACACATGAAACACACATACACACACACACAAACGCGGCAAAGACGTGCCCGTCGGCAGGCATTGACGCCGCCGTCTCCCGTCAGGACTTGGAGAACACCTACAGGTGCGAGTGCCCCCGCGGTTTCTACGGCAACAACTGCGAGCTGAGCGCCTTGACGTGCGCCGACGGGCCGTGCTCCAACGGCGGCCGCTGCGTCGACAACCCCGACGGCGGCGGCTACTTCTGCCAGTGCCCCACCGGGTACGCCGGCTTCACCTGCGAGAAGAAGATCGACCACTGTACCTCGGCGCCTTGCTCCAACGGTGAGGGCGGCGGGCGAGACCGTAGCTGCACGCAAACTCGCATTCTGGGTCGTGTTCAGATACCGCACGTGGTCGGGTAGCGGCGGACGTTTCAGTTCGGTTTGCCTCGTCAAGACCTTTTATGTTTGAAGTTCTGAAGGGGGGTTTTGACTGGCTGAACCCAAGCCAGCGGCTCCATTTGACGACCTTGGGTCTCACTTGAGCCCTGAAGGTCAAAGGGCCTATCTCACTGTCCTGGAGAGCAGTTGGCGACTCGATGGGGACTCGAGTTGCCGCGAGGTCTCCTGGAGATCGCCGGGACGTCACGGTCAATTCAAAAGCGACCTCCTTGGAGACGTTGTCATGTCTCCGGCAGGTCTCGAGAGATAAACCGATACTGTCCGCGACGAGGGCTGGGTTGGCTGGGTTTCAACTCGCGAGCAGATCTCCAACAAATCGGAGATCAATTCTCTCTTCGACCAAAGCGCTGTCCCCGCAAGGTCTCTCAGACCGGCTGAAGACCAACCGGACTGCGCATACAGCGGGCAGACGTAGCGGCAACGCTTGCTTGCGGCCTGGCTCGGTGGGAGTGCGGTCATTTCCCAACCCCGGTGTTGGTGCTTCGATCCGTGTTGAAGCGTCCTTGAGCAAGAAACAGAAGCCCCAGTTGCTCCCGATGCTGCTTCGGCATGAGCTGAATGAGGTCGTGTGGCGTCAGGCGCTTTGAGACCCCGAGGTAGAAAAGCGCTACCTAAGTGACAGCCCCTTTACCGTTGACCGGACTACCGCGTGACTGATCGATCCCAGCGGTGTCGCCACATTCGAGACTTGCTCCCACATTTGGCGGCGGCAAGCCGGATCCCTCCGGGCCACGCGGATCCCTTTTCGGAGCCGATCATGACCCTGGCGTTTGTGTTCTCAGGTGCCCATTGCGTGGATCTGGTCAATTCGTACCTGTGCCAGTGCCCAGACGGCTTCACGGGCATGAACTGCGACCACACCGGCGACAAGTGCTCCTCGTACCCCTGCCAGAACGGCGGCACCTGCCAGGACGCCGCCCACGGCTACACCTGCACCTGCCCGCCGGGCTACACGGGGCGCAACTGCAGCTCGCCCGTCAGCCGCTGCGAACACAACCCGTGCCACAACGGCGCCACCTGCCACGAGAGGAATAACCGCTACGTCTGCGCCTGCGCCCCGGGTTACGGCGGCCGCAACTGCCAGTTCTTGCTGCCCGAGCACGCCGCCATCCGAGGCTCCGAGGTGCCCTGGATGGCGGTCGGTTCCGGGGTGGCTCTGGTGCTCCTTCTTCTGGCGGGGTGCGCCGTGCTGCTTGGATTCTTCCGCTCCAAAGCCCGACGCGACGGTCCGGGGGAGGCGGGCGGAGAGGGCGAAACCATCAACAACCTGACCAATAACTGCCAACGCGGCGAGCGGGACGGCGCAGTCCCGCCGACTCCGGGTGTGAAAAACATCAACAAAAAGATGGACTTGTGCGGCGGGGAGGATCCCGAGGAGGGGGCGTCACCGGGACGTCGGTGCTACAAGAGCAGACCGCCGCCCGCAGACTACAACCTGGTGCGCGAGCTCAACTACGAGCGGGCGGCCAAAGACGCGGCGTCGGAGGCTTCCCGCGAGGACAAGGGCAGATCCCCGGACTCCTTTGAGTTTGAGGAGAAACACAGCAAACGCTTAAAATGGTAGGACAGTCGCCAACCCCAAAACGCGTCCGTGTCCGTTGTCACTCAGGTGAACGGAGGCAAACTCTTCCTCCATTGCTTCCAAATTAAAAACAACAGCTAAAACTACAAAAAAACAAAAGCGAACTGATGATGCCCATCAAACAAATCCAGGCCTCATCAGTTCCAAATTTTCAATCGCCAACCAAAGAAGCCTTTTGGTGTCTTGGAAGAGCTGAGAAGAATCCGGTTTTATGGCTCTTGGAAAAACTCACATCCATACAATAGTTTCCCTTTTCCAAAGATTTTTTTTTTTTTTTTACCAGGCCTAGAAATATGAATCCACCAAATTGCGATACTTTTCCAACCTTCTGTCGGAAGCCCCACTCTCCACTGTATTGACTGGAGGGTCCTTATCTTTGGAAGTCCTTAAATTCTTGACCTTTTCCAGACTTTCTCCAGGATACGGCAGACATCGATTCTTGGAGTATTCAGTTTTTCCATTTTCCATAGCGAGGAATTTCTCCTGTCGAATTGCGCACTCGAACCCAGTCGACCGGACCTTGACGCAGTTGCGGCGAAAGCTCAACTTTTTTTCCCTCTTTCCCTACAGTGAAACGTCGGAAATAAATTGCCCGGAAACGTCCGCGTGTGCGGACAACAAGTACAAATCTGTGTTTGTCGTGTCCGAGGAGAAGGACGAATGTATCATTGCAACTGAGGTGAGTAGTTGTTGACGTTGTTGAAGGCTTTGGCTGCGTGCAACCCGGATGTGAAGCTTACCCGACTAAATACGAGTGGAGTGATTGACAGGACGCTTACATTGCAACCGCCTCGACTGTAAGGACCGTTTCCGAGAACAGCTTGGGGTCTGGGATGCACGGAGTTGAAACGGCATCGTGGAACACGGTCCAATGATGCGGGTCAGGAGCCCTTGAAAAACGGCTCACGGAAGTCGGTGGGCGACGTGCATCGCAGGTTGCGAAGCGGTTGTCAGGAAACGCGCAACAGCCGCTAGGAAAGCAGAAGCGCCGAGCGTTGTTCAGCTTTCACGCTCCGTTTGCGTAGCGTGGAGTGGAAACCGAGCTGAAAGAAGCATTGCGGTCCGCAGGCCGAGTCCCCTGGACTCGGGTCGCAGTTCACCCCGCGGAAGACCGATGCCAATCTCTCGTCGCCAACAGCCGAACGTGACGACTCGTTCACGTCTGCGTTACGCGGAGTCCGATCCAAGCTATCGGGAGAAATGCGGACCGGGGAGGGTGTGGGCGAACTCCGTGCGGCACGGATGCGAAGCGGTTGTCCGAAACGGTGCTTGTGCAACCAAGTGCTACTTCAGCGGTTGAAAGGAAGGCGAAAATTCTTTCTTTTTTAATGAACTCCTGCTAGCTCATGACACCGGAGACTGCGGCTTTTGTCGGATACGGGGGACGACGGTATTCTGTTGGCTCGTTTGCAGCAGTAGGTGAGCATGAGCGTTCGCGCTCCGGAGTGGCTCGGGTCCTATTTGGCAGACAAAACCTTTTGAGTGAGCCCTGTCATAAGCCAGTGTCGTCTGGTGCTCCACAGGGTTCAATGTTGGGGCCCATGCCGTTTGCCGTTCCCGTGTTCCATTTGAAGATAATGCGGTGTTTCCTTCCGCTGCCACGAAGATGGCCGTGGGAGCTATTTGTCACTTAGCAAATGACTTTTCCCGTTTTTACAATTGACCTCACGTACGGCGCTTTGCCTGCGCCGACGGTTGTTGTAAAATGCCCCCGGTAAGTCAAGTCGAGTTGCAAAATATTTTCAATCGAATGAGTCCACTTGCTTCACATCCGCGTCGCGCGGAATCCGAAGGCTCGCGGCAACAGCGCCGCCGTCGGACCACACGTCCCAATTCCTCCGGCGGCTTTGCGGCGCGATTCGGATGCAAAGTCGTTGGCAGGAATGGCTATCGCTCGGCTCTTTTGTGTTTTCTCACGGCAGTGTGTTTCCGCAGGTGTAAAGGGGCCGGAGACGGGCTCGCTCGTTTTGCTGTATGGGAGAGTTTTTATGCTCCTGGATGAGATGCTGCTCTACGCTCGCTGCTGCTGAGACCTTTGACTGATATTCAGACTGAGCTGGTCTTCGAGTGGAAATAGAAACCGGCGGGGTCGTTTAAGGGG